AAAAAAAAAAAAAAGACAACCCAATTTCTTAAGCAAGAGAATGATTTAAATAGACATTTCTATTTCTCCACAGAAAATATAGAAATGGACAATAAAGACATGAAAAGATGCTTTGAATATTTTTGTAATTCATATATTCTGAAAATTTTCTTGTGCTTTAGGTGATAGTTTATGCAGATTACTTTCCCATTCAATAATTGATAGAAAAATTGCTGTATTGCATTGGTTGCAGCCCCTGCAATGTGTCAGCACTCTCCATTTCCACCCTAGGTTCCCTGCTTCCATTAGTCCAGTTTCCCTGCCTCTCTCTGCCTTGTCATCTTTGCTTTTGGGAAAATATACATGCAGCACATATAAATATATATATTGATAAGACCACAACTACACCTATTTGTGCATGCAGATGTACTCCCATACAGCCTCCAACACTTAGAAAGGATACAACATATCTACCTGTGAAGCTACTCACAAATTATTGGTGGTTATTACTGTTGTTGCAAGATTATATATTTTATAGTATTTACTATGGTTTCTAGAAGTATTAATTTTAAAGAACAATAGAATCCAATTTATGTTCTTCCAGTACTACTTTTCAAGCTACTTAAAGTCCATATTTCAGATAGACAATTTGACGAAAAGCATATAATGATTATTTAAAGTATATTGTTTTGAAAAAAAAATTTTTGGTTAGTTTTCTTCTTTCTTATCATTATTATTTAGGCTGAATCACATTTATATATATTTTTTTCTTTTTCTGCATACAGTATAGTTATGTCACCAGGAGTTTTATCACTAGAGGCTTATGATGAAATGAATAAAATATATTTATTCTTTATATTTTATGTCTCTAGCACTAAAACTCCTTCAGAATTACAATATTTTGAAAAGACATTGTAAAATTATAAAAGAATGCTTTACATCATTATTTTAGCAACACCTAATAGTAAATCAACTAAAAATACACACTGTGGATTTTGGACAAATGTATTTAGTTTTCAGTTATCAAGTCCTTTCTCTGGAAGGTATTGTCTCAGAATATTACTGGGTGACAACGTATTTCCCCATCCCCAATGTGAAAAAAATATTAACTGAACTTATAAATAAATTTTATTCTACATCCCAGAATTGTCTATAAACTTACCTGTACATTTGTTAATAGAACAACAGTACTTTTGAATTTAGAGAAGGTCAGTATTATCCAGAGTATTATGTTTCATTATGCTTTCCCATAGTATATGCATTTAGAGAAAAGTCAAGTGGATAAAGTGTAAAAACAATGAAATATTATATATTACTCTATAGTAATATTTTAATGTAAACAAATTAGAAATCAGTTATCGTATTTTAAGTTCACTGATTAAGATTTTATAAGAACTGGTTGGCCGCATGATGCTATTTGTTTTCAGGGAAATTCAGAATAAAACTCTACATCTTTAAAACACTTGGGGATAAATGATGAACATCAGGGATATTCTCCCTACCTATTGGTCACTGACAATGAACATGCAGTTAGCTGCAAGGAAAAGTTAGTTTTCCATTGATTCTAAAGGGATTTTTCTTGGCATAAGGTTATTTCTGCAGAGACTCCTAACCTGAGAGATGTGGTTCCCAAAACACAGGTAAATCAAAAAGCATCAATTAGAGATGGATTTCCTTGGAGATTCTGAGTTTAAGTCAAATGACCATAACTAATGGCAACTTAAGGATGACAGCCACTTGTTCTATATGTACAGATTCCTTATAAGCACAATGAAGTGTTCTGGAACTCACATTTTTTTGTGATATTATCCATAATTTCTCATGCTCCACACAGTCAAATGCCTTTGCATAGTCAATAAAACAGAGGTAAACATCTTTCTGGTATTCTTTTCTTTGAGCCAAGAACCATCTTCAGCAATGATGTCTCTTGCTCCATGTCCTCTTCTGAATACAGCTTGTATTTCTATAAGTTCCCTGTCAATATAGTGCTGAAATTATTTTTGACTTATCCTCAGCAATATTTTACTTGAGTGTAATATTAATGATACTGCTCTATAATTAACACATTCTTTTGGATCACCTTTCTTTAAAATAAACACGAACATTGATCTCTTATAGTCAGATGGCCAGGTAGCTGCCTTCCAAGTTTCTTGGCATAAACAAATGAGTGCCACCAGTACTGAACCTATTTGTTGAAATATTTCAATGGGTAATCTACCATTGGAGCCTTTTTTTTTTTTTGCCAATTACTTCAATGTAATTTGGATTTCTTCCTTCAGAGCTGTTGGTTCTTGATCATATGTTATCTTCGGAAACAGTTCAACATTAACCAATTCTTTTTGGTACAGTGATTTTGTATATTCTTTCCATCTTCTTTTGATGCCTCCTGCATCATTCAATATGTTCCTCATAGAACCCTCTAATATTGCAACTCAAAGATTGAATTTTTTGTTCAGTTCTTTCAGCTTGAGAGACCATGAGAGTATTCTTCCACTTTGCATTTCTAACTCTAGGTCTTTGCACATTGTATTATAATATTTTACTTTGCCTTCTTGATCGCCCTTTGAAACCTTATGTTCCCCTTTTATCTCATCATTTCTTCCATTCATGTTAGCTACTTTCCATTCAAGAGCAAATTTCAGAGTCTCTTAAAACATCCATTTTTGTCTTTTCTTCATTTTTCTGTCTTTTTAGTGTCTGATTGTTTTCTTCATGTATGATATTCTTAATGCCATTCCACAATTTGTCTGATTTTCAGTAATTGGTGCTCATTGTGTCAAATCTATCCTTCAGTTGGTCTCTAAATTCAGAAGGGATTTAAGAAAAGCTTTGGGACACAGCAAAAGCAGTGATCAGAGGCCAATTTATAGCAATAAATGCACATAAAAAAAAGAAGAAAAAGCCAAAATCAACACTTTAAAACAACATCTCCAACAATTAGAAAAAAACAGCAAGAAAAGC